TTAACAATGGTTATTATATTGCATATTGTTGTCTTCAAAGTAGTTACTCAGATTATAAGATATAGGCATACAAAATTGATCAAACAGGGCCGGGGATATAGCTCAGTGGCACAAGTGCCTGCCTGGCAAGCGCAAGATCCCTGAGTTTGATTGCCGGTACCAAAAAACAAATAAAAAACCCCCCCAAATTGATCAAACAGTATAAGCACAAATCATTCCTTTCAGTGAAATTATAGAAATTAGTATAATTATCTTAGATATCTTTTGTGTGTGTATATATATGTGTGTGTGTGTATATACACACACATATATACATATATATGTATGTATATATTTTCTTTTCCCATCCTTCTTTTCTCCTTTCCCCCCTCCCAGTTATTCTTGCCTTTTTAGCAGTTTCTTTGCCTTTCACAATATCTGTTGTACATTTTGGGTTTTAATTACTCTTTCAGTTTCTTATACTGAGAAGATAATACTATGTTTACACATGGGAGTCTGATTTATTTCACTTATGAGCATGACATCTAGTTGCACCCATTTACCTATAATAGCCTCAAGTTTATCCTTCTTTATAGCTGAGTAATACTCCACTGTATAAAAATACAACATCTTTTTTATTCATTCCTCAATTGGTGGGCATTTCAGTTGTTTCAAAGATTTAGCTATTACAAATTGTGCTACTATAAACATGGGTGCACATATATTGCTGTGGTATGATTTTTTAAATTCTTTTGAAAAATACCCAGATGAGGGATATCTGGGTTGAATGCGACCCTTAATCCTAGTTTTTTAAAGAATCTCCACACTGATTTCCACAGTGGTTGCATCAGTCTACGCTCCCACCAACAATGGAGAAAAGTTCCTTTTTCTCCACAGCCCCTCCATATTCCCAACATCCCCTGGGATATTGCTTGTTATTTGTTGATTTCTTGATGATAGCCATCCTTTTGAGTAAGATGAAATCTCAGTGTTGTTTTAATTTGCATTTCTTGAATGAGCCAATCATGTTGAACATTTTTTCATGTATTTATTTGCTATTTGTATTT